TGAATATGTTATGTAATGCAGTGAAACACATCTTAGGTGTTTTCTTTTCATTGCACAGAGGTTAGTTATTGTGTGCATATGCATAATTAGGAACAAGTTAGATATGTTATGCAATGCAATGAAACACATCTTAGGTGTTTTCTTTTCACTGCACAGAGGTTAGTTATTGTGTGCATATGCATAATGAGGAACAAGTTAGATATGTTATGCAAATGCAATGAAACACATCTTAGGTGTTTTCTTTTTCACTGCACAGAGGTTAGTTATTGCGTGCATATGCATAACGAGGAACAAGTTTTATATGTCATGCAATGCGATGAAACACATCGTAGGTGTTTTCTTTTCCTTGTACAGAGGTTAGTTATTGCGTATATGTGGATAAAGAGGAAAAAGTTAGATATGTCATGCAGTGCGATGAAACACATCATGTGTTTTCTTTTCATTGCACAGAGGTTAGTTATTGCGTGCATATGCATAACGAGAAACAAGTTATATCTATCATGCAATGCAATGAAAGACATCTTAGGTGTTTTCTTTTCATTTCACAGAGGTTAGTTATTGCGTGCATATGCATAACGAGGAACAAGTTATATAGGTCATGCAATGCGTTGAAACACATCTTAGGTGTTTTCTTTTCATTGCACAGAGGTTAGTTATTGCATGCATATGCATAACGAGGAACAAGTTAGATATGTCATGCAATGCAATGAAACACATCTTAGGTGTTTTCTTTTCACTGCACATAGGTTAGTTATTGCGTGCATATGCATAACGAGAAACAAGTTAGATCTGTCATGCAATGCGATGAAACACATCTTAGGTGTTTTCTTTTCACTGCACAGAGGTTAGTTATTGCATGCATATGCATAACGAGGAACAACTTAGATATGTCATGCAATGCGATGAAACACATCTTAGGTATTTTCTTTTCACTGCACAGAGGTTAGTTATTGCGTGCATATGCATAACGATTAACAAGTTAGATATGTCATGCAATGCACTGAAACACATCGTAGGTGTTTTCTTTTCACTGCACAGAGGTTATTTATTGCGTGCATATGCATAACGAGAAACAAGTTAGATCTGTCATGCAATGCGATGAAACACATCTTAGGTGTTTTCTTTTCACTGCACAGAGGTTAGTTATTGCGTGCATATGCATAACGAGGAACAAGTTAGATATGTCATGCAATGCGATGAAACACGTTAGATGTTTTCTTTTCATTGCACAGAGGTTAGTTATTGCGTGCATAGGCATAACGAGGAACAAGTTAGATATGTCATGAAATGCAATGAAACACATCTTAGTTGTTTTCTTTTCATTGCACAGAGCTTAGTTATTGCGTGAATATGCATAAAGAGGAAAAAGTTAGATATGTCATGCAATGCAATGAAACAAATCTTGTTTTCTTTTCATTGGACAGAGGTTAGTTATCGCTTGCATGTGCAATGCAATCCTAAAGCACAAGCATTGCAAATCTCTTCGTTGCACAAAGGAACAAGTTATGCATTGTAAAGCGATCGCTCTTGAGATGTTTTCTTGTCAAAACACAAATTAATTAGTTGTAGAATGGAAATGCATGGAAAAGCACGCGTGTGTTATCTTTTCTTTTCATTGCAAAGAAGAATAAGTTAGAAAATATAAGCATTGCAATGAAACAACACACGTTATCCAGTCAAAGCACTAAGGAAGGGTATAGTTCTTGAATGCAATAAAGTGCATATTACATATATTTTTGATGCACAACGTTCTTCATGCACAATCCACATCTCTTCATTGCACAAAGCAACGGGTGTTGTTTTATTGCAATGCATAAAATATCGAACTTGTTCCTCTTTGCAATGAAAAGAAAATGTATGCATGTGCTTTCGCATGCATTTCTATTTTACAAACTAGATTGTTTGTGCACAGACGAGCAAACATCACGTTATGCCTTTTCATTGCAGGAAGAACAAGTTAGATTGTTATGCAATCTAATGAAACATATTAGGTATTTTCTTTTCATTGCACATAAACATGTTAGTTATTGCGTGCATATTCTTTTAATGCACAACGTTAGACGTTAGATGTGTTTTCGTTGAACAACGGAATTAGTTATTGCATGCGTTGTAAGGAAACAGCTAATGGCAACGATTTCTCTTCATCACAGAAATGCAACAACTAATGCAATTATTTCCCTTGTTACAAAACATATGCATTACACATCTCTTTGTTGCACAAAGGAACGAGTAAGTTATTGCATTGCACGACCGCTCAAGTGATGTTTTTTCGTCAGTGCACAAAAGAATTAGTATGCGAAAGAGTCAAAGGGTCCTCAAAGGTTATAATAAATATTAACTTTTTTTTTTTTTTGTTGATTTATAAGCTATAGATAGGTTCCTTTTTGTCTTAGTGAACATATTTCGGTAACACTTTAGAATACTGTATCTTACTTACTGCATAACTAATAAGGAATTAATGAAGAACTAATAGGTAATTCTTTATTAACACTTAAGTCACTACTGTTAACTACTAAGGAAGTTGTGTTAACTAATCAGTATGTAATATAATTTTATGATTGTGTTAAGTATCAGTTAGTTAATCAATAGCTAATGAATTCTGTCATACCTCCTGAAGAACTACTATTAATTATCTATTAATTAAGGTTCAAGAAAAATAACTATGAAGTAACTACTAATTAACAGTCACACACAGTAGTCAGTTTGTCATTCTTCAGCACTAATAAGAAAGATAAGTGCAGACATTTACCTATAGGCTATGATCTGCAAATAAGCAAAAACATATCATGTATATTACACCTTATTATTATAAGGTTTTAGTAAGTTTACAGTAAGGTTTACGTTTGATTTGAGTCAGAAGTATGTGGTAATTCTTTATTAATTACTAATGGGTTCCCTATATTGTCACTTTAGAATACTGTTTCAGGTTCTAAGTAATTCCTGAAGGACTATCTAATGATTATTTATTCATTACTAATAAGTTCCTTATATTTTTACTTTAGAAGACTGTTTCAGGTTATAAGTAGCCTAATTCCTAGATAATTATTTGATAATTCTTTATTAATTTCTATGGGTTCCCTGTATTTTCACTTTAGAATACTGTTCCAGGTTCTAAGTAATTCCTGAAGAACTATTTAAAAGTTATTTATTAATTACTAATAAGTTCCTTATATTTTTACTTTAGAAGACTGTTTCAGATTATAAGTAGCCTAATTCCTAGATAATTATTTGATAATTCTTTATTAATTACTAATGGGTTCCCTATATTTTCACTTTAGAATACTGTTCCAGCTTCTAAGTAATTCCTGCAGAATTATTTGATACTTATTTATTAATTACTAATAAGTTCCCTATATTTTCAGTTTCCCTCAGTCGTTGCCTCAAATACATGAATTTACTCAGTGGCATTCTATGCTGAGGAAAACAGACACACACAGTACTGTATATAAAATATAAAACTCATCTGAGGTTAGTTTTGTGTGACTGTTCAGTAGTTACTTCTTAGTTATTTTTCTTGAACCTTAATTAGTAGATAATTAGTAGTAGTTCTTCGGGAGGTGACAGAATTCATTAGTTATTGATTAACTAACTGATACTTAACACAATCATAAAATTATATTACATACTAATTAGTTAACACATCTTCCTTAGTATTTAACAGTAGTGAAGAAGTAGTTAATGAAGAATTACCTATTAGTTCGTCATTAATTCCTTATTAATTCTGCAGTAAGTAAGATACAGTATTCTAAAGTGTTACCCCTTGTATTGTGTATATGAAGTACAAAAATAAACATTGTAAAAATACAAATGTTCATAGAATTTTTTTTTTCTACATACTGACTTTTCTCAACAAATATGAGATTTGTTTACAGTAAACCCTTAATTTTCATGGTTGACTGTTGTGGTGAAAAAACAACTAAACATTTTGTCCAGTGTGGCTCACACAATGACAAAAATACTTTAGATTTTGGTGGCCTTGGCCAAATTATTGACATAATAACTAGGTTTTGAAGGATGAATTAAATGTTTTGGGTGAGTAACTACATTTTGCAGACATGCTATAAAGTTTTGAAGTTCTTGCAAACAGTTGTGACATTTGCACTCACAGTTTAGAGAATGTTAAGACTGTTTCGAAAAACGTGCCAAAGCAATTGAGAAAAACTGCATGTTCTTGACTAATTTTGACATTTGAACAGACTATTGTGCATGTGATGACTTATACAAAGAAATTACGCTGACACATTTTGGAGTGAACAACCATTAAACTGAGAATGAACAATCAGTTTAGATCAACAAGATCTATTCACTTGGAAATTGTAAATGTAGGCTGCCTGTACTTACAGTTTTTCTCAATTGCTAAAACACTAAAATCTATTGGCTGAACAAAGTTCTCAATTGCCTGAACTCATTTAGCTAATTGTGGAGTCTGTTGTCAATACCATAAACAATTTCACATGGTACAACACAATTTGCAGATCTCACTTAGACTTTTCAGCAAAACTCTGAACTCATTCTCATTCTCAAAACACATTCTGCACTCCAATGCACATATCATCCATACTGGTAAACACAAGTGGCAACAATCAAATTCAAAAAGAGAACAAATGTCATTTGATTGAACACAACCACTCAAAACTGATTCAACCTGTTTCAAATGATGTGACAACCAATATTAGCCAGTTCAGAGAGCAAACTGAACTGAGAGGTTGTTGAAGGTGGAAAGGAGAAAGTCTGAGAATGGATAGAAGAAACAATGTGAGAGGACGAGGGCGTATGCGAGGCAGAGGTGGTCGACAAGGAGGAGGAGGGCAAGAAAGAGGAGGAGGAAGAGGAGGAGGAGGGCAAGAAAGAGGAGGAGGAAGAGGATGAGGAGGGCAAGAAAGAGGAGGAGGAAGAAGAGGAGGAGGGCAAGAAAGAGGAAGAGGAGGAGGGCAAGAAAGAGAAGAAAGAGGAAGAGAAGGGCAAGAAAGAGAAGGAGGATGAGGAAGAGGAAGAGGGGGGCAAGGAAGAGGAAGAAGAGGAGGAGGAGGAGGGGGACAAAGGACAATATTGCTTGTGATGTCGACGAAGTGCTTTTGCCTGACCCAGGCCAAAGACAAGAAGCACATTGATCACGTTTACTCCTTTCATTTGTGTCCCTTTGAGTATCGTATACTGTAGTACAGTGCACTGCTGTAGACTGTACAATGAAAAAAATATGAAATTTGTTTTGAGATTTGTTTTGACATATAGTTCTCCCTGAGAACTATATGTTTTGAACAATGTTTTTTAATTGTTTTTTTGGTGTATTGTTTATTGACTGCTTGATGGTGTATAGCATTTTGATCACTTTGTTTATGTTTTGAGAGCAGTGTTTGAATTTGAACACAGGTAAAACTGTTTTGAGAGCAGTGTTTGAATTTGAACACAGGTAAAACTGTTTTGAGGCGAAAGTTTCATTTTGCAAGAGGAGTCAGAGGTTTTGTAAATAGTGCTTGAAGATGAGGTTTTGTGTTTAATGTTTTCAGAAAATGGAGCAAGGTTTCAGAAATTGTGTTTTAGCAATTGAGAAAAACTGTAATCATTTGCAAAGATGTACTGAGACATTGAGACATGTACTTAGGCATTTGCAATTTGATGAACTTAATGAGAAATTCAATTCTGTTGTGAACAATTCCCAAGTAGTTTGGAGGTTTGTCCATGTTGTTTTGAGAATGTAATTTCTGTTTCAAGAAATGAGCCAAACCAATGGAGAAAAACTGTAAATAACAAAATAACAGAATACACTTGCTCGTTTTGATCTTCCTCAACAATCATTACAGTATTAGAGTAACAGGACATCTGCAAAAGCAATCACATTCTGCTGATCCAAATACATCATTCTACTGTACATGATTGTTATGAATTGCTAAATTAAAGTTATTAATTTTGGAGAAATCAAAATGTTCCAAACATATCACCATGTTAAGGGTTACATTGTAAAAAAGGAAATAAATGTAAACGTTACAATATTACATTTAATTTGCTCTGTAATACACTGAAAAAAAAAATCAGTTCAACTTAGCAAATGTACTTGATGTGGTTGGTCTAATAATTGTTGAAATGAATAAATTATGTAAGATTACTAAATATAACTGAACTCAAGTTGGGGCAGAGTGAAACCAAAAAATCAACCGGGAAATTTCGTTGACCAACGGCCCTCGTCGCCGGCAGGGCCGGATTATGAGTTCAGGGGTCCCTGGGCACGATGTATTGTAGGCCCCCTCTTAGACAGGCCAAAAGTATATTTTTCCAAGGAAAATTTTATATTGCATTCACAGTTTTACTGACTTTAAAGGAACGTTGTTGTACTATGCTGGAGTTAAGTTCATAATTGGTCATTCTTTCCCAAAGGAACTTGTAAAACTATGTTGGGTGGACTCTGTGCCTCTAGGGGGGTTCGGGGGCATGCTCACCAGCAAGAACATGTTGTACATTTTAAGGTTAAATGCATCAATCTCATGCTCTTTTAGAGATCAAATTAAGAGCTTCAACCCATGAACTGCTCACCAAGAAAATAAAGAGGGCTCAAACATCTTTTTATTATTTGCCAAACAATTATTATAATAATGTAATGATTTATATAATTATTTCTATGACGTAAAATCCATAGCCTATAAGTGTACCAACTATATAAATGAAAATGAATGTTTTAAAAGTATATTTTAGCCAACATTAAGCTATAATATAGGAAAATTAAAATACTTGTGTCCTAATTTCTTCACTTGCAAGAAATAAACCCTTGAGCTTTTATTTAGGAGGAAACACCAGCTGATCGTGTGAGCAAAGTGCACACTTTTCTTTAAATCACCCAGCACAAATTCTTAGGGTGCAGATTCTTAAATTCTTCAGGATGCCTATTCTTAAAGTTTTGTGCTGTTGTATAAAGGCACAAAGCTATTTCGTGGTTTCGATTTTAGTTCGTTGGCAAAATATAACACTTTAGACTATAATGTTAGGTTATACATTTGTATAATGTTAGGTTATACATTTGACATCTCATATGTGTTAGGAAAAGGGAAAAGACTAGAGTTTGGCAAAAGGCGGATTCGAACTCGTGTCTACGCATCACAAGCACGTTACGCCCTATGACCTACGCCCCTCTGGCTGAGTTGTGACGAGCATCTATTTACTATAAAGACAGGCAGGCACGTAGTGTTATCGAATATACTGTTATCGAAAATGTAAAAAAAAAAAAACATTTTTCTTCCCCTCGCTTGGGCGCATGGCGAACTTGCAATGTATAAATTTTATCAGACCGGCCCTCGCGGCCTCGAAACACTAGCCTACCGGCCCACCGGGAAAACTCCCGACTCTCCCGATTGCCTCTTCCTGAACTCAACCAACCTGAAAAACAAGGCTGAAGCACAACTGTCAGTAGATAACACGATTTCTCCAGCTCATAACATTACGTTTGATATCATTTTTTTTTCTTACATGATGGAAACCTATTTCCCCATTGAAATATATGAAATAATTAATTACTCTTAATTCATTTAATTGAAGACATACATATACTCACAAATTAATTTAGTTTATTGAATAATAATTCAGTTTAGTTGCGATAACAGTGTTTGTTCTTCAGCACAATGATAACCACAACATTCAATAACAGAAACAACTCTAAATGTCCAACAGAACATTAAACATTAAAAATGAAATTAGTGCAATTTGCTAAGCCTTTTATTGCACTCCTGCTGTGCACAGAACTTCCAACACGAGAAGAAAGCAATTTCATTCATGATGATTTTAACATGAAAAATGTGCCATGATTTAGGGGGAGGTTGCTGCCATCTGTTGGAAAACAAGCACAGTTAAAGCAATGTGAAATTTCAATATAGCCACTAGATGGCTGAATTAACAAGAGTTCGTGGTCTTTGAAACAGTTCTGAATAGGTATCTGTAACAAGAAAGCTTTGTTGATGAAAATAATCTGTTAATAATAAATAACCACTATTGGTCAGTGATAAAATAAATTAATTATTCTCTATTAATAATAAATAACCACTATTGGTCATTGATAAGATTAATAAATTATTCTACTTTATGATGCTGAAAACTATATCACCTGATCATCTTTGTTTCTGTTTCGACTGAGCCTGGGTTCTCCCAAGGTTTTTTCTCCATCCAATCTGATGGAGTTTGGTTCCTTGCCACTGTCGCCTTGCTTTTGGCTTGCTTTGAGCTTGCTCAGTTGGGGTTATTTAGTGTTTAACAATGTTGTTGATCTGTGTTGTGCTACTCATGTTATCACTGTGAAGCTGCTTTGATACAATCTGTATTGTGAAAAGCGCTATATAAATAAATGTGACTTGACTTGACTTCCCTTTGCAACATATTATGTGTTTTAGTAAACGTCTCAGGTTACAACTGTAACCTATGTTCCCTGAGAACAGGGAACGAGACAATACGTCGAATGACGCTATGGGGAACGCCTCAGGCGTGACAGGTGTCTGAAATCAAATATCAACTCACAGTAATCAGGTTGACCGGCGACAGCCCGTGCATCATCAGCTTGAATGATGAGCGCGTCAATCTGGATGTATAAGAAGGGCGCCTTGAAACCGTGACAACATCCTATCGTCTGAAGGGACTGTTGCAGGCAGGCCCCGAGGCATGGCAACGAGACGTATTGTCTCGTTCCCTGTTCTCAGGGAACATAGGTTACAGTTGTAACCTGAGACGTTCCCTTTCGAAGGGAACTCAACAATACGTCGAATGACGCTATGGGAACGAAATACCCACTCCGCCATGCTGAGGGGAGTGCATGCCGAAAGGCAGTGACAACTGTCAGAACCAGTAATTCCAAGAAACACTGAAACCACTCACCCTATGTTACATCGGGCTGTCAGTGACAGCACTCCCTACCGGTCATAGCCCAAGCTAATGAACCAAGAAAAACCAGAACGTAATAACGTGAGTAAATCAGGGCCAGCTCAAAGGCTTTAGGACCACAACTTCAAAATAGAAGGGGTCCCTTCTAGGGAGTGTGGCTAGGGGGCCAAAGAGACCCCCAGCCAGTCACTATTCAGGAGAACACTCCTCCTGAAATGCCCCCAGGCTGGCCTGGTGATCTGTACTAAGACACACAGTCTGGCCATAGCCTGTCCGTCCAAGACAGAGCCTCTGGAAATTGCCTAGAAAAGGCATCCAAAAACTGAAGGCCCGCGAAGCTGGCGGAAACCATCGAGTTTCGGATCACAGAGACGGGATCCTCCGGAGAGTGTGACTCAACCTCGAACCAATGGGAATCGTACACTCAATCCACGAGTTTCCACCCAGTGCTCGCTTTTGAGCACTGAGGAAGTAAGAGAGGGATCAAAAATCAGGAAGGTCAAAGAGACCTAAGACCTGATGACCCCATGTGTGGGGAGCTCCGATACATGAGGGCTCATGTCAGGAAGGCCGTACGTTGTGCGGCCTGAAACCCAACGACCACAGCATGTGGAAGCTCATCCTTCAGGAAAGCCAGAGGCTAGAAACCTGACAGACCCACAATGTTGGGCTACCTCGAAAAAGGTCTAATCAGACCTAAAACCACAGTTGTGGGAGATAGCTTGAACAAGGGAAGTGCCTGTCGTAATGTATTGCGACAAAGACACATCTACAGTGGGACCCAAAGTGAAGAACCGGAGTCTGAACCACATAAGAAGGGACCGAAGCATACCGCGCGTGACCCTCACCATATGAAATGGATTTTAAAAACTGCACAAGACATCTCGTCAGGTGACTTACCACAATAATAGGTGAAGTATGGGTTTGTGTACTTCACTCTGAATTCAGGAAGGCCTGTTGAGGCCTGTAACCTGGCGTCCACAGTGTGTGGGAGCTCATGGCCAGGAAGGCCTGGTAAGGCCTGTAACCTGGCGACCACAGTATGCGGGAGCTCGTAACCTGGCGACCACAGTATGTGGGAGCTCATAACCAGGAAGGCCTAGTGAGGCCTGTAACCTGGCGACCACATCCGGTGGGAGCTCGTACTCAGGAAGGTCAGTGAGACCCAGCCTGGTGTACCTGAAAAACCACACCAAGTGGGAGCTACTTCCAGAAGTTAGCTCTTAAGAACTCTTAAAGTGGGACCCGAGGAAAGACCGGGGTCTGAGCCACATAAGAAGGGACCGAAGCATACTGCGCGTGACCCTCACCATAAGAAATGGATTTTAAAAAGTGCACAGGACATCTCGTCGGGTGACTTACCACAATAATAGGTGAAGTATGGGTTTGTGTACTTCACTCTGAATTCAGGAAGGCCTGGTGAGGCCTGTAACCCAGCAACCACAATATGTGGGAGCTCATAACCAGGAAGGCCTGTTGAGGCCTGTAACCTGGCGACCACAGTGTGTGGGAGCTCATGACCAGGAAGGCCTGGTAAGGCCTGTAACCTGGCGACCACATTGGGTGGGAGCTCGTACTCAGGAAGGTCAGTGAGACCCAGCCTGGTGACCACAACCTGTGGGAGCTTACTCCACCAAGTGGAAGCTACTTCTTCCAGAAGTTAGCCAGAGAAGGGCGTCCCTGTAGCCAGTGACAGGACGCCACTTAA